TCCCCCCAAGTCAGCAAGTGGAGCTGTGAACAGAATCCAGGTCACCTGTCTACCAGTCCTCTGCCCAATCCATTGGATCACAAAACCAAGTAGAATCATTCCTATGCGTTCCTTCTCTACACCCACTGGCTCAGATGCAACCAGCAGGTGCACAGTACCACGCAGGGATGCTTTGCACCTTGCAAGACTGGGTCCTTCAAGTTTTGCTGAGCTAAAAATTCTCTATAAAGAGAATTAAAGGAGATGCTATAGGTTTTTTTCAGGCTGATAATTACAATAGAAGAAACTTGTAAGGGCTTATCTTGAGTCATAATAGCTAACTTGGGATCTGCATTTTTACTCACTGATATTTTACAAGCTAAAATGCAATAACAGCATCTTTGGCTTTCCTATTGTATTTACAGGGAAATCCTTTTCTATGCCTCTCAGTATGGTAATCAATTGTTGAAAAGTGTTATCTACATACTGTAAACAACTTGCCACCCATGCTGTCACAGCAGCAGTGTATTTTCTTGTTGGAGGCTTGGCCATGTAAAGACTCTTGGGACAAGCCCTACCAAAGCTGGTGCATATCAGGGGCATTCAAGGGGTGACACCCTTGGTCTTCATAGGGAGAATTTATGCTGCACTGCTGGATTGCAGAGCTTTTCAGCAGCCACCTTCAACCATTCCAGAATTTGAAACAGAATAAAGGGGCACCTAATACACCATGGCTATGTCTAGACTGGCATGATTTTCCGCAAATACTTTTAACGGAAAAGTTTTCTTTAAAAAAAGTTTTAACAGAAAAGCACTTTTTGCGGAAAAGCGTCCGTGCCAATCTAGACGCGCTTTTCCACAAAAATGCCCCGATTGCCATTTTCGTGATCGGGGCTTTTTTGCTCAAAACAAATCTGAGCTGTCTACACTGGCCCTTTTGTGCAAAAGATTTGCGCAAAAGGACTTTTGCCCGAACGGGAGCAGCATAGTATTTCCGCAAGAAGCACTGATTTCAGACAGTAGGAAGTCAGTGTTCTTGCAGAAATTCAAGCGGCCAGTGTAGACAGCTGGCAAGTTTTTCTGCAAAAGCAACTGCTTTTGTGGAAAAACTTGCCAGTCTAGACACAGCCCACCTGTCACTTCCAACTCCTTGATGGCAATTGGAGCATTAGCACATCTGCTGGTTTTCCAGTAGCAAGTAAAGAACAGTAACACAGGAGAGAGAAGCTTCCAAGTTGGCTACGCAGATATTTATAAAATTGATTTTATTTCATGGTTGTGTTTAATAATCTGCAGAGATGTTACTAGTACTCTCTATAATAAGCCATGCAATTTTGATCTTTAGTCATCCTGAATCCAAAATCATGATGGTGGATAATGACTAAAGCATTACTGTTTAAGAAAACTATTTTCACCAGAAACTTTAGATAATGCTTACATGACTGACGCATGCACAAAAGCAATGGAGCAACTGAGTAATATGGTTATTCTCTGAATGTAGATATAATTAGAAAATTAAGGTGATGGAAAATTGATTACCACTTGATTTTCTAAGAATCAAAGGTATGAATTCATTCTATTAGCTTCTTAGTACAACAAGCACACAGACTAATATAGATCTAATTCTAGTCTATCCCAAAGAAGGAGAAGATGGCTGAAAGAACAAAATAAAACTATTGTCCTTATAAGGAAGAGTATGAATCTGACATGTGTTTCATGGACTGGCAGCTGAAATCCAGGTTCTGCTGAGTGGGAGTAATATAAAACTGAAATTTCACCTACTAAGTCAGCACAATTTACCAACAGTGTTCAAAACAGATATTAACTACGGCATTACAGCAGGACACCTGTAAAGGTGCTAGACCTGTTCTCAATAAGTAAGTGCCTTCCTAATATACAGTAAATGGCATGCCCTTAAATCCCAGCGACATCAGTGGGAACTGAGACCACTCAGAATTTGGCATGAGGCCTCTTAGCATCTCTCAGGGCTGGATCTTTGGACTTTACCTTGTAATAATATGGAAACATTGAAGGATTGTGGAATGTAGTCAGGATGCGGCTTTACAAAATATTTTGAAATAACATTTCCCGAGGGAAATTTGACACTTCACAAAATTAATTTTCTCCTAGAAGTTTTACTTAAAAAAAAAAACAAGACTGAGGAAAAGAGAGATATTTTATGACTAGCTGAAGAGCATTTAGAGCTAGTCCATCAACGTGAGTACATGCAACTCCTCTTCAGCTTTAGTGGGTGTAACACATGGGCACTTATGATACAACATACTCCACAGATCTTACTTCTTAACTCACTCACTATTTTTCAACATAGGGAGCACTCTTTGCTATCACTACCACGCTCCTTCATAGCCTCTGTTAAAAGACTCTTATTTGATTTTTAGGTGGGATTTGGACGCTCAGCTTACATAAACGTGGCTGTACCCACTGTAAGCAGGAGCTGAACTACCACTTGCGATGCAGCCAGCTGAAAGGAGAGAGCAGCCCTGGGGGTGAGTATGCTCACTCAAACTGTTTCTTTTAATTAACTGTTGATATGTAAATATAGCTCATGCCGGGATGGGGAAGGAGTCCGGGGTGTGGTTATGTAAATCCAATTCAGACAGGGCTGATGGAGGGTGAACTATTGGAATAGAATGTGGTATATTGTAACTAATGTGGCTGTTGTGGCATCACAAACCATGCTACCCCATAATGTAGGAACTGTAAAATATGACACCAGTGTTTGTAGGAGAGACACCATCATTGTACAGGGTCCCAGATGAACAAGCCTCCCGCTTCCAGATTTGAGTGGATGAGTTGGGAGGAAAGGGCTTGGGCCAGCCTACTTCATGCCTGCCAGGTGTGAGCTGTAAGACTGGTTCAACCTGTCTCCTTTTCCCCGCTGTTCTAAGGATAGACCTAAAGCAGACTCCATAAGGAGTCTCTCTGTTATTCCAGTGGAAGGTGGAATCTTTTGGCAAGCCTAGATGGTAGCTAAGAGCTGAAGTCACTGGTTTGGCCTGGAGCCAGACGCTTTGTGACCGGTGGGTGGCTGATAGGAGCAGTGGCCAGCATGTGGCCAGTAGGAGCAGCGGCAGGCGGCCAGCAGGGCGGCTGATGGGAACGACCAGCGGTCGGTCGGTAGGAGCAGCAGCAGGCGACCAGCAGGATGGCTGGAGGGAGTGACCAGCATGCGGCCGGCAGAAGAAGTGGCAGGCGGTCAGCAGGGCAGCTGGTGGAGCAAGCAGCCCACAGGAGCAGCACAAAGGTGGCATGGACTCAGGATCAATGAGTGGAATCATCAGGGTGATGTGTCAGGATCCGCACTGACTGGACAGAGCTGTAAGCGGGGCGTTTGAAGTGGGGTACGGAGAAAGTTTGGGTAAGTGAATGGGACCCTTACATCATTGGACTAGTGAGCCTGAGAGGCAAAAGCATTGCTCAATCCATTTGAGCTGGATGGTTACTCATGAGTTGGTTATGAACTCTAGTTATGGTATTTTTCCCAAGTTAATGCCATGTGACTTCTCTCTCTCTCTTTCATTAAAAGTTTCTTTTCTACACTCAGACTCTGTGCTTGTGAGTGGGGAAACATTGCCTCTCAGAAGTGCCCAGGGGTGTGTGAATTTCCCATGCTACTGGGTGGTGGCTCGAACTGGTTCTGTGTGAGATGGATGAAAAGGGATATTGAACCTGGCCCTGGCTGCTGCCGGCTCTACGTGGCTATACCCACTATAGCATAAATGTACTGGATTCAGGCCTCCCAAACAATTATCAAATGCTATGGCACTCAAGAAACCTAGCTGCTTCCTTTTTTTCTCCTGTTTGCAATATCAGACCAACATTACAGCTATACATTGATATCAGCACACATGCCAAACTCTCACTGATGTCAAGGAGTTCTCTGCATGAACAGAATGCAGTTTATGGCCCACCACATGCAAATAACTCTGCTACAATTCCTTTTCTTTGAAATGCTAGCTGGAGTGCCATAGGATTTCTTCGTCTTTTCAAGGACTTGGCAACTTGGCATGCTTTTAGGGGCACTGTACTCTCTGGCACCCCTCCGTTCTCTCACACTTGGTATCCAGAGGCAGTACATCATTGAAATGTACATTTTAAATTTCTCTATTTTTATAGTAAACACTACTTCTTGGATCACACACTATATCATCTTGTTCCTTAGAATCAGGTTTGCCTCACTTTATATCACGCACATCTCTGATCTGTTGGGAAGGCATATAGCAACATTAAGAAAGGGACTCAGAGCCGGTATTATTATTTTTTTAAATCCATGTTTAGTTAGAGGACACCATGACAGAGAGACTAATTCTGTATATTCCACAAGATCTCATGACAAGGGGCTAACCCAGTTTGCGTACACACTGTACAGCTATTAAACCATGCTAGAACCAAACTCAAGAGGTCTGTTTGTGCCCTTCTAGAGAGCAGCCTGAAACACAGTTGTAATGCTGTGATAGCTTAATGACCCCAGTGTTCCACAAACAACCTCCAACCTTCTTAACGGAACTTTCCTGCAGACGGCTGAGGAGTGGAGCAAGCTGGGAACTGAACTGCACAACACCAGAGCAAATTCTGCCTCCAGTGGGTGCAGCAGGTGATCAGTATATCTCAAGATTTTACTTCTGTGAATTTTTTTTTCTCCCAAAACTGGTTTAGTTTTAGAGCTAGTGCAGACATAGAGCTTCCTAAAATCATACAACTGTTTTCATTTCAGAGCCATAATTTTCTTTTAGACATAATAGCTCAGTCACTAGTCAGTCAGTCACTCGACTCACTAGTAAGCAAATAAGGTTGCTTATCAGGTAGATTACTTAGCCTGCTTTTCTTTCATTCACACTTGTCTTTCAGAGGAACATCAACAGCACTGAGAGCAGAGACCATTTGGTTCTGGATTCTGACAGTACACGTCACAAAAGATAAGTCCCTACAAATCGAAAAGGCTACTGGCCACAGGCCTTGGGAAATTATATTTCGATGGCCTAGGATTTTACTCAACTTACCTTTTCTTGTGTCTGGCACTGAAGACAGTTGCACTCAAAGCAATACTGGCGTTTCAGATGCTTTTTACGCTCACTGCTGGGCATCAGTGATTCAATATAGCTGATAGTGAGCTATGTGGAACAAAAAAAACCAGAACTGTTATACTTTAACAACAACTCAGTATAGTAAAGCTGACTGAAAAAAAATTTACCAAACTATGTTCCTGTCACAAAATCTGGTTTCATATAAGCGGACATGTCCCAACCGAGAAAATCTGAATTTTTTTTCATGGCAACACTGACAAATCAAACGTTTTTGTAGAACTTTTATTTTGCAAACATTTTTAATTCTTCAACTTTTTGTCCTGATTTTGAGATGAAAATAGGTGTTGAAGTATCCAAATTTCCCATGGCATGGAAAGTCCATTTTCTGACCAACTCTAACTATAAGTTGCAAACTGTAATCGGGGACTCCAGCACCATCTAAGTGTCTAAAATACTCTAATGAAAGGATATCACTTGTATTTGGGGATATATATTCTATCCTATATATATCCTATATAGAGTAGTTTTATTTCAATCCTATCTCACTATTTTTAGTATGTCTATGATACCAGTCATTGGAATAGTTAAGCACTGTTTCATTGTTACCAAAAAAAAATAAATTAAAAAACTCCTATCTGGATTAGTCGACTACCTGATAAGCCTAGGCCAGTGGTCCCCAACCTTTTGGGGCTGCTGGGCGCCCGGGGGCAGGGCCGCACATGCGCCGCGTGCCCGGGGGTGGTACTGAGCATGCGCTGGGCACCCGGGGCGCAAGAATGGCTCGGGCCGGCCCTGGTCACTGGGCGGGCACACATAAATGCCCTGGTGGGCATCCTGGCACCCGTGGGCACCGCGTTGGGGACCACTGGCCTTGGCTTAGCAGATAGTTGAGTCACTACTCGACTAGTCGCTTCCCCCTCCCTTGCTGCCTCTGTATCAGAGGCACCAAGGAGGTGGGAAGCAGGAACTGGTGCTGGGGGGAGCCGGCTTAAAAAATGGTTCCCCCCCAGTACCATATTTTTCTGGGGGGGGGGCGGAGGGAGGGACAAGGTAGGCAGAGGCATAGTGGGGGAAGCGGCATGGTCTCTGCTCTCGCTGGTTCCCAGCTACACCTCTTCCTTTGAAATGTACAAGAGCCGTGGGCAGCTCTTGTATATTTCATGGGAAGAGGTGCAGCAGTTGGGTCCCAACATGTACAGGTTCCCCTCTGCGCCTCTTCCTTTGAAATGTACAAGAGCCACGAGCCAGAGAGACCTAATCTGGCTAAAAGGTGGTCCAAGATAACAGAAATCTTGTGGGAACAACCATTCATGTGTGATTCCTCCACTTCAGACCAAAATATAGAGAGAAAAGATTATAAGCTTTCAACTCTGCTGAATCTAAACATTAGAGGTGGTTCTGTCTCAAATCTGAATCTCAGAGCACAGCCTAAATTTGAACCAATGTCCACTTTGCCCATCTACAGTTTTCAGGCAGGTTCAACCCTTGTCTCCTTTCTGTTTGTGCTCCTGACAAGAGTACCAAAGATGATGCAGGAAACTTCACCATAGGAATGAAACTGAAATCAATTTTTGCTAGGCCGATATAATGTTCAAATCCAGCACCGGTTGTGGATGACTATCTGACCAGAAGGATTAATAATCCATATGAAATGGAGCTTTGAAACCCATCATTTTTTGTGCAGTTAAAGGGTCTGATCCAGCTCCCACTGAAATCAATGGGAATGTTTCCATTGAATTCTGTTGGAGCTGGATTGAGCCCTAAGCGAATAGAGGATTTTGTTGTCACCTGATTGAATAGGAAAATGATAATGTAATGTGCAAAAACATGACCACTCTCCCAGTGACTAAGGCTACACTAATCATGTAATCAGTTATACATAAAAACCTTTTATTAAAGTCTGTCTCTTACACTTATTTTAATTTTGGATCTGTTCATTAGATGCAAGGCTCATTTAACTTGTACATAATTATGAAATATTCACATTCATCAAATGTTGACTTAATGGTATTTTGTGTGTAGGATGTACAGTCTTAATTACACCATTCATTCGGTTGGCCAAAGCTTTACTGCACCCAGTGATTGCTTTGAGGATCTGGGCCCCAGACCCCATCATTTAATTGTATTTAAAAAGTGCAGTGGAATAAATACCCGTTAATGGGCCTTAGTACAGGCTGTGCCTTCCTGGTCTGGCACTCTTGGGACAGGTCCAGGGAATATGCTGGACATGGGGAGGCCAATGCCGGCCCCGCTGCTGCCACTCGCTGCTGGGCTTCACTTTGGCCAGAACTAACCAAGCAGGGACTAGGGAGGTGGTCAGGGGAGGAGGCAGGGTGGGTGAGGAGCCCCACGGCTGGGGTCCAGGAGCACCCTGAGCCCTTTGGCAGCTGGCCTGTGCTCCTGTGTCAGCAGAGAAGCTACCATTAACCAACCACGGGGGTGGGCACTCAGGGGAAGATGCAGCGCCCCAGGCGTGCAGCCCCATGGGAGTGCTCTGAGCCATGCTCCCGGCCCCAGTCTCAGACTGTGGGGCTACCCTCCTGGCCCCTGGCCGTGGGGCTCCATAGCCACACTGCCTCTTCCCCTGAGCATTTCCCTTCCCTGCCTCTCCCCGCTCACCTCCCTGGGTTTGCAGCACCCCGAAAGCTCTGGGAGGAGTTGCCGAGAAAGATGTCTGGTTCTTCCTCAAGAATGCTCTGTCCCAAGGACACCCACGAGGATGCTGGAGCACAGATCGTGCTGGACTATAGAAGTCTGGCCCATAGAGGTTGAACCCGTACTATAGAGACATGTTTTCATGGTTGAAAATCTGTCATATACATACTGTGGGCTGGACATGAGAATTTCTAAAATTACAATGGAAACACAGCAGCTACTTTGAAGTGGTTACTTAAGAAAAGAGAAGCATTGGCAGTAGTCTCTGGCACAGGTTTCTCTCTCTGTTTGAAAAACGTGCCAGAAAATAAATGATTCTGATAGTCCAGTTTCTCTCTCTATCACTTCAGTCTCTAAGTCAATGATTTCTATTTTCTAATCTCTTTTCCCCACGCCTCATCGTTAGTCATTATTTTCTCTCTTTCAAAACTGAAATTAAAACGTAAGCAAAAAATTTACATAATGCTTAGGGCCTGTCCTAAGGTAACAAAAGAGCCGAGAAAATCAATGCGAAAACTGACAGTGAAGGAGAAGGAAGAAGGTACTATAATTGGGCATGAGTGACTGGAAGCAAATTGGAGAGACTCTTATATCCTAAGTTATAATTAAAGACATACAGACTGAAATTTCCACAGCTGAATTCCATCGTCTCCTTCTTCCTCTTATTAGACTCAATTATGCTCGGAAGTCTGGTACAAATTAGGGTCAAGAGAGCAGGAGAGCCTCTCTCTCTCCTGCTTCGGCAGAGGGAGATCTGAAGTTGCTCCCAGACATTGTTTGCTGTCTCTCCACCTCTGCTTCTTCCATTACGGCTGCTCTGCTCTGCATAGGGCATGTCCTGCTCTCAGAGGTGCTCAACACCCACGTGTCAAACATCAGGATTTCAGTCAATTTCACTGTGCTCCTAATTACACCCGAGGTAAAGCTGTGTGCAGCAACAGCAAAGCCCAATAGACGGAAAGGAGATGAGGAAAACAATAGGGGAGACAGGTCACAAGGGGAAGATAGGAGTTTTACTAGGACCAAAATCACAATGGAATGAAATACAAACTCAAATCTTCAAAAAAGTGAGAGAGATTCTTCCAGATGGCTCAATTTCCTCAAAGGGCACTTTTCTTCTAAATATCGTTAACACATATGAAAGTACAAATCTGGGGCACAGGCCAGCCACTGGTTTTTAATATCATAGCAAAAAGAACTTCACATATTGTATGCAACCCAACTGATCATCTTCATCAGTAAGGTGCAGAGTGAACTGACTCTTCTGGGATTCAAATCTCTGTTTCCAACAAGTCTAGGAATTCCGTGTCTGCTGCTTAAAACTCTAAGGACTTGGCTATACAAACATTTAGTTTGCAGTAAGCTAGCGTGTGAATCTACCACTCAACTGTTCATATCCATCCTACTGACACACACTGTTTATAAATATACTTTGATCTAGTCCTCTTTGAAAAGGGACCAGATCAAGTGCATTAACACACTGTTAATACATGACAGCCTGGTGCACATGGACAGTTAGTGCATGGCAGACTAAAAGAGGGTGTATTCACTAGGTATGTAAGCGAGTAGTCGACTACTCCATAAGCCTAGGCTTATCAGGTAATTGAGACACTACTCAACTACTCACAAGGAGGAAGGGGGAGAAGGAGGAGCCGATGCTGGGGAGAGCTGACTTAAAAGCCAGTTCCCTCAGTACCATCTCTGTGGGGCGGAGACAGGGAGATGGGGCCGTGGAGGCAGAGGCGCAGCGGTCCAAGACCTGGCGGGCGCTGGGACTACTCATTCCTGGCTTGTGCCGGGTCTCAGACTTACCCCCCCAATACCTCTGCATTTTAGATGCAGTAAGAGCCAGGTGTGGGACCTACACTCGCTTCAACTCTGCAGTTTAAATGTCATAGGAGCCGGGATGCCTGCGCTCCTGGCTCCTATTATATTTAAACTGCAGAGCCGCAGCGAGATCCCTTATTGACTAACTGTGTAGTCGATACAAATATCGACTACATGATTAGTCAATTACCTGCTTCTTACCATCCTTAATATTCACATTCTAGCTTCCTAGCAACTGACTATCTGTGCTGACAACCCTAAAGTGAGAGCATTCTAGAATAAATGTTATAGAAACTGCTTTAAATAGAAAAATTATCTATTTGGTACTGATTTTAATGTTTAAATTAGGACTGTCCATTAAGCACAGTTAACTCACATAATTAACTAAAAAAATTAATTGCGATTAATAAAATTATTGTGATTAATCATAGCTTTAATTGCACTGTTAGGCCATAGAGTATCAATTGAAATCTATTACATATTGATGGATGTTCCTCTACATTTTCAAATATATTGACTTTAATTATAACAGAATACTAAGTATACTGAGCTCATTTTATATTATTTTTATTACAAATATTCGCACTGTAAAAAAATAAAATAAT